AATACGCGGCTGCCATGCAGATCACTGCGCGCGCGTTCGCTGTGGTGTACAACGATCTGCTGAACGGGCCCAAGGGTAAGACGCTGAAGGAGCGGCTGACCACGATGCTGCAATCTATGCAACCTATGGATACCTCAGCTGGGGGCCTCGAATCGGTATTTTTGTATACTAGTCACGGGCTTTACGGGAAAACATGTTGTCAGGGGATGGCACTGGCATAAGAAGTTCAGTGACAATTCTTCCTCTTCTTACAAGCCCCACGTGAGTGAGGGCACACAGCAAAAAGTGCAAGGGCCAGAGAAGGAGCTCATCTAAGACACCTCTAGTATAGGTACAAGCAACATCGTCATCAATCTCCATGGTTTGCGATCTCTCTTGGTTTTGTGCACGGATCGCTCTCCCTGCAGGCTTCCGTGACCTCTTTGTCTCTGGTCTTTGTCTTTTGCGGGTACTTGTGTCGACCGGGAAGGCATCGTGGCCTCGTTTTTGTGACTTCTTGTTTTTTCGGGTTCTTTCTGCGCTTTGCGGGTAGTACTTGTGTGACTCTTGGGTAGTCAAACAAGACTGCAGCATTACAAATCATCAGTGTTGTCCCACAGCCTGCATGATCTTACCTGAGAACCTCTCAAGGCTTAGTGTAGTTAGGCTGCAGAAGAGCTAGGCTGCAGTCTATGACTTGCTTTCCAATAGTTGAGTACAGCCGTTTGTGGCTTGAGCTGTTTCAAGGGAAAAAAGGGATAGATGGGGCTGTTAAAGGTTCATCGATGCCTGAAGCGTCGGACGAGCGTCTGTTTGACCCATCCGACTCACGTTAAAGGCTGTTGAGTGGTCAACATGTGAGAATTCTCTGTAGCATAAGCCTGGCGAACATGTGAGAATTTTCTATTTGCCTGAGTATAGATAGGTCCGTCATCAGGCTTACATAGAGAATTATCGCAACATGTTCAGCGCCACCCTTAACTTTAAAAGGCTGAGCCTGCACAGAATTGTCAAGGCAGGCCACTCGACCGCGGACAGAGGTCACCAGAGATGAGGGGCTGAGCGCTGGCCCTAGCCCTAAGCCAGCCCTAGCCCTAACTGGTGACTCTGCAATCCGTTTAGGCGTTGACAGTTGCAATTTTTATGAGTTGTTCTTGGAGTAGTTCTAGATCCAGTCAACATTCTTTCAACGAAATCATGGGCTAGGAGGGTGAGTAGCGGCTGCGCCTGCAGCAATTGCTTTCGCCAATTACAGACTTGGAAAATTAATAGATAATTGTGGCTTGTTTTGGATGAACTTGGAAAACGCAGCTGTCTTTTCTACCCCAAGAATTACTACACTGACTGATGCTACGACTAGGATGGATTGGAGGGCATCAGACCCACCCACCTGATTAGCTTGTTACAGTAGGGCTCTGAAGAGACTTTTTTACACGGAAGAGCATCTTCTAGGATGCATGATCATCACAGAGTTTCTCTAAGATCCGATACACGACATGATCAGTTTCCTAGTTTCCTATACACGACAGAATTGCCAGAGTTTCTATGTTAGATTAGTTCTAGACTGTGTAGACGTGATGGCAAGAGGACGTACACACTAGAGTTTGACGTCACGACATGAGGCTAGTAGAGTTTCACGGTACAACAAGTTGTACATTCAGACGATATAATTACCCATTCAGACGTCACAAGAGGCTAGTAGAGTTTCACGGTACAACAAGTTGTAAACCCTTTCAGACGATATAATTCGCATGTTTCCCATTCATCTTTTCAGATGATGCCGCATATAAAGATGGACAAGATGCTGGACTTGACGACCCTGTTCGGCGATCAAGAATGGGACATGTTAGAGGAGTATCGTGGTTGGTTGAAAACGTTAGAGGGGGACTACTATAAGATTGACGAGAATAGCGACGCCGAAAAGGCTCGTCTGCAGAACAACATGAAGGAATCGACCGAAAAGGCCATCAGCGTGTTGCGCCTTTCCTTATGATTGTCAGCGACCTCTTTGCGAGATTATCAAATATGATGTAGACAGATTATATAGCACCTACTTGCACGATGAAGACGTATCTGAGATCTCTCCCAAGATGCATAGCGCCATGCTTTTTGTTGCTCAGCTAATTATTTTGTCGTTTATTGTAAAGAAAATCAAATGCTTGCAATGCAAATTCTAACTGCCTAACTTATCTGAGCCTGGCCTTGTCGTAGTCCCCTCCCTATTAGGTTTGAGCACTATTCAGGCGGCCTTACCACTGGTCCCTTTAGCTTCACGTTGTTGTAGAATCTGATACGCGTACAGGCTTACACGTAATATATCTATCTTGAATCATTGTCTTGCCCAGTACGCTTCTTGATGCCAACGTATAGCTTGAATTTGTATTGTTTGATCTTTCCGATTGATGTTACCGAATCAAGTAAGTAGCTAAAAGCGCACCCATTTTTTCTTTCAGCATAAAGTAGACCTTTCTTTCCCTATTTGTCGGGAGACTTATACCAGCCATCGTCCTCACCCTGTTCATTTGTCCTCACCCTGGACCGAGGTGAAAACGCATTATCTGCCGAACAAATGAAGTTAGTCGAGGAGACGGCGAAGATGATGCTGGACTACGTGAGTAAAACGTTCCCGGAGAAGTTGTGGAAGCACTTTCAGGGCTTTGGGGGAGCGTGGTTGTTCGCAAATGATGGATCTTTATGAAGGCAAGCTTGCATCGAATATCATTTTTGGGTACTGGATTACATCACACGGAAAAATAGTAGTTTGAATTGAAGCAGAAAAGCACAAACCTCAAGTCAAGTGCAAAGGCTGCACATGGATAACTGTTGAGTCCGTTTCTCTCTTCTCTCTTATCCGATCCTATAAACACGACTGCGCTTATTCTTTAGGTGTATCGCACGTATTTGCCTCACATTACACGTTGTGCTATATATGATCATGTTATTATTTTTCTGATGTTGGGTTATCTCTACTTCTAGGCATGAGTGTTAGCTTAGCTCAGTACGAAGATGGATGCTAATTGCTATATTCATTTTATTTATGACTCCTTAATCTGACAGGAAAACGATATCGGCGGCGCGGCCTAGTTAGTATTAGAGACGGGAGTCCCGCTAAATCTAAATCTAAATCTAAATCGTACTTGATTTGTTTTTGATTCTGGTTTTTTCTGGTTGACGCTCTACTGGAGATATAGTCTTTACTGGGATCCCGTATGGGTACCATAATGACTTAATTGATTATGAGCAGTATGTTTTGATAGTCCACTTTTGGACTTCATCTGGGTTACTACGTAGTCGTCGCAATAAATCAATGCGAGGGCTTGCTAGTGCTATTTCCTTACTAGTTCGGGGCGGCACTCTGTGAAAGTCATTCACATATTCCCACTACTATTATTATTTATGTAATAATAACATATTATATTTATAACCTTGATTTATTACATATGGCGCTCAACCTATGTATTATAATTGAACTACCATTTCTATAATAGTAGTTCATATCAGCTGAGTTTCCTAGACAGTCTAAGATCCGTGGCCAGACGTCCCACCTCTACGTCCGCAGACGGAGCAGATGCCAGAGATGATGCTGGGCCAGGTGGGCTATCGCCGATGTCGACTGAGGATCCAGGCAGAGTTGCCGCATTGGTGCAAGACGAGGTCGCAGCTGCGGTGAATGAAGCAGTGACGGGGGAGGCTGGTGGCCCTGCAGCCACCAATTTTGCAGATGCTCTTGGGCTTGCTTCCGATACAGCAGAGTTGGCACCGCAAGGGGATGGCCAAAGCTCTGGCAATGCTGGCACTAAGGCTTTGGAGGAGATTATTGCGTTGTACAAGAATGTTGCTGACGCAAGGTTCGAACAGATCAAGCTGTTGTTCAATGGTCTCATCAAGTATTTTATGCGTCACGGTGGCAACAAACAGTATGATGGGAACATGGAGAAGCTCTTTGAGGCATGCAAGAAGGAGGAGGAGTTTCCCGCGGCCGCGCCGGACTCAGACGACGCAAAGAAGCTTCCCGAGTCTGCAAAAGAGCTTTGCGAGGCCATGGATGGCGCCAAGAATGAGGAATTGCAATTGCTGAGCGTACTATTATATCAGTCTATCATTCTACATCTGGGTCACAACCTAATACTCTATTTAAATACCCTTTACCTAACCTTACCTTTTTTTCCTAGTTAGCTTGGCTCCACCCGTATAATTAGATGTGTTGTCGAGTCGTGGGGCTTGATAGGTGTACAGGCCAACGCCTGAAGGACTAAGCCAGCGGACCTGTACACCTATCAGAGCTAACGCCATCTGGTGTGGAAGTGTTTGCGTCGCCTCGTCGATCCTCGGCAAAGTCACCTACGCACGTCACCCAAAGTGTGCACTTTTAACATCATCTTGAATCTTCAATGCTAGATCCCATGTTTCCTCATCTTAAAATCGATGGGGATTATGCTAGCGCAGTAGTGTTGAAAAGATGAAGACATCCTCCATGATGGTTTCCTAAGACGCAAAACTACTGCTCATTGGTAGATCCCATGTTTCATCATCTTAAAATCGAATAGAATTCAAAACTACTCATTTTTTTAAATTTCAACTGCTCAGAACGTGGTACTGTCGGGAGGAAACTACTTCAACGCCCTGAGCGATGGCCTTTACGCCGGAGATTAGAAAGAGGCTTTGATGCAGGAAGCAATCAAGACCGCACGGGAACTGGTCGATGGAGGAAAGCGCAAGTCTTACCAAATGCAGCTGGTGGTACTTTCCGAGGCCTTTTACTTCTTCATTGTATGAACCCTCTGTGTAAGTACTTAAGAAGTGAGTGCCGGCGTCTTGTTCTTGTTCGTGTTCTTGTTGTTGTGTGGTTGGAGTGAGTAGGCCAAGGTAACAAACAAGACCAACTGATAGCATAATGTTCGAGAAGAAAGGCAATGGGGATAGTGATTATCTGAAGATGATGCTATTCTCGCCTGGTGACTAGGCAGATCGCCATCATCGTCATCAGCGTCACCCCCACTATTATCATGGCCGCCATCATCATCACCTCCATTGTCACCTTTATGGTGACTGGTAGCGAATCACAATAGGCACACACCCCGCGACTAGGCTGCAGCTGCCCTTGGCCTTTTCGTGTGTGATTATTTCCTTTTCTACATAGGTTTGAGAATGTAGATTCTGTCAGGGTATTTCTGGTGTTGTAAAAAGTGACAGACGATAAGATAAACATTTTTACATCCATTGCGACGTAAACGCCATTCACCTTTCGCCAGCATTCTACAGCAGGTTACTAGTTTTCCCCCGGTTACTAGTTTTCCCCCATGCCTCCTAGGTTAGTCCCTTCACCCCGTACTTCCCTCTTGTTTCTTCGGCGTGCACCTCGAAGAATTTTTCAGCTTCAAGCAGTACCTACCAACGCACATCTTCGACACGCTTGAAACCTTCTCTAGGGTTTCTAGCTGTAGGATAATTTCCCTAAGCGAATGCTTTTTTCACTAAACAAGTTTTACCTTTCAAGCTTTCCTGGTTCTAGCTTTCCTTGTTGCATATAGTGCTATATAGAAAAGCAAACATGGTATAAACTGTCAGACACGCTCACTCACTCATTCTTACCCAACCCATCACCATCAGCTTCACGGCCTGGTTTACGCGGCGTTGAAAGTTACGAAAAAAATAGAGTCGCCTAGTCAGAATGTCAAAACACGCGCTACGCATCAGGACAGGGAGAGCAGCCCTCTCCAGCTAGACTAGTGATCGAGTGGACCTCAGAAAACTATTGTCCTAGAAGACTCTTATTCTGGTAGTAGATCCGGCAAGACCAGATGGTGATGAAGTGATTGCGCCAGATAGTGATAATTCCTATCCAATGCTTACCTTAAATCTACTTATGCAACTCTACGCTACCTTCTCTATCCTATCCTCTAAGAAAGAACAAGGCCCCTGGATCTTTTCCGCGTTTCCGAGTGGAGAGAAGACAAACGATTTCCGGCTGAGTGGCGTCACGGGTACCCTTCCTTTCAAGGAGCTTGCTGATATGTGCCACGACCCAAAAGAGAAAGGGGAGCGAGAGGGCTATGGGGTTAGTGCTCCTGCGGCTCCTCAGTCTCCATCCGCTTCTTCTTCTTCTTCTTCTGCCACCGGTTCCAGCTTTGTTTCCGTCAGTCTCTCAGCCACTGGCACTCCCCAGCTTCAGCCGGACGTGGTGGAGGAAGTGAAAATTGACTTTGCGGCGCTTACGGAGCCTCAAGACCTTCTGCTGTTTGTGGACCTCGTTCGCAAGCCGGTTTGCCGCGCGGAGGATGGTGACGTTGCAGCGTGGGGGAACGTACTCTATAATGTTTTTACCTAGTATCGGATAGAGAATCAGTTTCTTGCACTTTGAGGGCCTACAAGAAGAGTGGAGTTTGTGTCAAAAGTTAGCGAGTGTTTGCTCCAGTCCTGACTATCCTATGCCGCTCGAGGCAAGCGGCATGGATGTACGTAGTGAAGACGGAGGTCTACTTGCTTTGTTTGTAGGTAGAATAATAGGTCTTCTCCGTAGTGAAGACGAAGATGAATTACCTTTCCGACAAGAAGTTTGAAACATTTGCTGCAATTGCAATTCATGAAAGCAATATGGTGGTTGCGTGACGTTGTATAGCTGGCGCTCACTGAAAATTTAAGAGGGGGCCGCGCATGAATTAGTCGATGGTGCGGTCAGTCAGTGAGCCAGTTAGACAGCTTTTCAGCCAATCAAGCGAAAAGCTCTGCTAGAAGGCCAACAAGGTGCGCTAGAAAGTGTCTAGTTGTCGAGGCGCAGCTGGGTTATCGCCTTGGGCGTTGGCCTGTGTGTTTACTTATCCTAGCAGTGAAGGCAGTGCCGCGCATATCCATTTAGGAGGCGCCAAGGCTAGCTTTCTACGGTTTCAAGCGTGCACTTGAATAGCGGCTCACGCTCTCCATTTGTTCTTTCGTACTGATGTTGGTACTGAGTGGCTGCAGCCGCCACACCCATGCCGAATGAGTGCGAAGGCATGCAGCCTCTTTTATTCGCCTCACCGTGGAATAGATTTTGGGCTACCAAGGTTGACAGGGTTACTCACCTCGCCGCCCGTTGCTTATGCCTCATTCCCGTACGATGGCCCGCCTTATCCTTTTTCTCTTAATAGGAGGATGAAAATTGAAGCAAACATCGTAGTGTCCCATCTCATCCTTTTTCTCTTATCAGAGGGATGATGCTGAAGATCCACAGAAGCTTACAGAGCAGATCTGGGAACGCTCTCGGAAAGTCCGGGATGCGTTTTTCAACAAGGGCGACCAATTTTACAACTTATGAATTAGTGCATTATAACCTAACGCAGCCTAGCCAATAACATACATTAGTCCTCCTTACAATGCGACATCCGAAGCTCCTTAGTCAGTGTTACATTTTTTTCAGTAATATCTCCATCGAAGGCACCGCTCTCATTTTTACCATAAGGCCTACTCGGAAGTATTAAAAGTGAAAGAGCCTTGCTGGGAGAAAGGTATCTAGGGATACACGCATGGTAAATGTATCTAGACTTTGGAATAGTCCCCATCGACAGGATTAGAATAGGATGAGAATAGTACCCGTGCGCACTAAAAAGTATCTGAAGTACCTAATCCATTTCAGACCACTAGGTAGTGTTGCTGTTGCCATGTGCTTTTTTGGTTTCTTGGTGTGGTAGACCCCACGACCGAGGTGGCACAACAATTAGATTCTGTCAGTTCTTGCGGATACCCACCTCCAGGGCCGTAAGTATCTGCAGTACTTGCGGCAACATTGAGAGTTGCAAGTTGGCCTCTTTACAGGCAAATCTAGGCCTATTCCGAGAAGAAAAGGCATACCTGTGCCTCTCTAGACAGGCTAACTTCCAACTCCTAATGAATGATATACCGAATTCTGGCATGCTCCTTCTGAGCGTGTCGCTTTTAGGTCAAATGCAAACCGACTATCATCATAATTATCATGATGGGCAGTTTAGTCGTTCTAGTAATTCCAGACTCTTTCTGAGAGTATAATGATGTCGTTCTAGTAATGTAGTTCCATATTCTACTTTCTTTACTTGTTCTAGTGATTGCTTTGTGTGGTTGCTTCGCGTGATTGCACCTCTCTAACCTTGAATCCTAGCAACAAGGCTGCGAAAGTGGTAAAGCAATTGGTGGACAACTTTCTGGAGAGCCCGAAGATGAAGGAAAGAGCCCAACAGATTCTGAAAAAGGCTCTTCGCCCTCGAACTCTCCTTTGCCGCGCGAAAAGCTGGCCTGCCCAAGCGCGAGGCGCTGTGCCGTCAGTTCCTGAGGATCCGGCAGTTGCTGAGGCTGAGCCAGGTACTCAGAATCGGGAAGTTCCTGAGGATGATGCAGTTGCTGAGACTCCGCAAGTTACTGAGGCTCGGCCACTTACTGAGGCTCCGCCAGCTACTCAGGATCCGCCAGCTACTCAGGATCCGGCAGATACTCAGGATCCGGCAGATACTCAGGATCCGGCAGATACTCAGGCTCAGCCAGGAACTGGGGATGTGCCACCGGCACAGGATTTTATCCAAATGACAGAGCCGGCTCAGCAGGTGGGCACCATGCCTAGTTTTCTCGCCGAACCTGAAAACAACGATGCGAGGGAAGTGGAAGTGGACAATAAAGGGAATCTGTTGGCTGGGGATTTCCTTGCTGCCCAACAACCGGAGAGCTAAGTTAAGCTGACTCACGATAACTCATTTCAATGACAGACTATTTTCTCAAGGTTCCAGGAGGACTTCTCCCGTTCATCTACGGAACTCCCCAAGATTTCTCAAGGTTCCAAGACTGAGAGCATCTTGGGGAGATCCGTAAATGAACGGAAAACTCCGCTAGAAACCTGGACACCTTAGGGTCTGATCTGTCGTGGCGTCCCTTTTAATCCCAAGGGAAACTGCGACAGGTCAAGACACGACGGATCAAGACACGACGGATCCAGAAAACTAGTACAGCGAAATGAGCTATTTTGACTTCTAATCGAAAAGGAGAAGGGAGGTGGTTTGAGGAGACTCTTCTGGAGGGGAGATAATCATCGCCCAGGAGGTGGTTTGAGGAAAGTCTTCTGGAGGGGAGATAATCATCGCCCAGGAGGTGGTTCTAGGAGAATCTTCTAGAGGTAAAGTTCTATGATACTACGACGACGTGGGGGGCAAGACTAGAACTACTTATGGGCGTTAATTATGGGCGTTAATTCTATCTTGTATTTAGTTTCGTTCGTGTTAGGGGATGTGTTAGATTATGGCTCATCTATTTCCTTCTGGGCGAATCTAGTACGGCTGGAGACTCTTTGATCGGTCCGCTTGTGGTCGCGAGTGAAGAGTGAAGAGTGGGGACCTCGGTCTAGGTTCTTTCACGACTCACTCTTCTTCCACGACTCACTCGCGGATGTCCGCGTTTCACTAGGTATTTCTTTGATTTTTTGGGGTCTGTTAATGCTAGACGCGTGTGGAAGGATATGGTGACTTCCTCTGCATGATAAGGGAGCCCTGCATACCTTTTCGCTGTACCTTTCCACTGTACTACCTTTTAAAGGATTCCCCTTGCAAGACACGGGGGATCTCCTCCGGGGAAGCTAGGGGGGAAAAAGTGGCAACGCACTCAACCCAGGGCGGGGCGATAATCTTCTAGTAAGAAAGCCAAGTGTCTAGCGTTAAATATGGGAGAAAAAAAGTTTCACCATGGGCATGACGAAGTTCTTGTGTGTGCATCATTCGGACGAAAAGCTGTCTGTTTTGTATATGCATCATGTGCTCTTCTTCTATCAACGGCCTCAAAAATTCCGTTAGGTAGGACGGACATTTTTCTCATATAACAAGTACCTCGCAAGATGCAAAGACCAATACCTACCTATATATGTTCCAGGGGTGCTGGAGGCCATCTCATACGGATATAATATCTATGATCTAGGTGTCGTTGTTGAGGTGAAGACCTGTCTTCAGACGAAGTCAAGGATCCTCGAGATCTCTTCTACGACACCTATGAAAATGTTAAGCTCGCGAAAGTGCTAGCTACTACAGACCGAATGATAGCTACTACAAATGCTAGCTCTTGGCACGAACAAAGATGACTTAGTTATAACTACTCCTACAATTACGACATTACTTCTCAGGGGGACGTGAGTGTGAGATGATAATGTGTGAGGAGACAAGGGGTGACAGCCAAGTAATCTAGACGCTCAACGTGTGCCAACACTAGAATGCTATTTGCTTATTTTCAGTCGCTGATGGTTGGGAAGCGCTATCAGATGCACTGGCGAGGAGGGTGATGTTGAACAAAGTGTCTCTATGATTATGAACCTTGAAAAATTGGTTCATGATCTCTTGCCGAGCTTTGTCCAGCTACTACTTCTTTCGGAAGTAGGGAACGAAGTGATCGACCAGCAAGCAGAGGGAGAAGCACTTGTTTGGTCTAGAAGTCTTTTGGTCTAGCAAGCAGAGGCAGAAGCAAGCACTTGATGCTTGGTCTGCAGCCACTTGTTTTGTCTAGAAGTCTTCGTCCTGGCAGTTTTTCTAGAGATAAGATGTGATCGGAGCATGAGAAAATATATTCAACAATTAATCATATTCCTTGATCTGAGTAATAAGTGAGATGAATCAACAACTAATATGTAAAGAAGTAAGATGTTCTTGTCGTATCTGTGAAGCCCGCTCACCCTTGATGATGTCCATAGGCGTGGATGAACCGGAAAACTGGGTACTGAGAGGTGAACGAGCCTGCACTTATTGGTGATCTTTACCTATCGGAGAAGGATAAGTTGTTGGCCTGTTCACTTATCAGCACACACATATCAGGGGTGGCACACACTTAGTATCAGGGGCACAAACTCATTGTCAGGGGCACAGCGACGAGAATAATCAATAATTATTATGAGCGCGACACGTGGGCGTCGATAGGGTCGCGCGCGAACATAAAAATAGTGGGAATAATTATAAAGAGATAGAATTAATAAGAAAAAAAAATTACGAGCTACTGCCTGCCAACGAGAGCCGCCTGTCTTCGGACCAAACTTATTTTGCAATTTACTTTCTCGCCACGCGTCGGTCGATCATAGTGCCTATATAGATCCTAGGTAGTTTCGGTCGATCATAGTAGAAGTGCCTATATAGATCCTAAATATCTAGTAGATAGTAGAAGTGCCTATATAGATCCTAAATATCTAGTAGATCCTAGGTACTAGATCATAGGTACTAGATCATGGGTACTAGATCATAGGTACTAGATCATAGGTACTAGATCATGGGTACTAGATCATGGGTACTAGATCATGGGCAGTAGGTCATAGGTAGATCACAGAGACCCGGTTCGCTCAGTCTCATAGTGTTGGCAGACGAGACATAGTGTTGATCATGAAACACAAAGACTTGGGCTTGAACTTCTTGAAACAAGCATCAAGCTCAAGGGACAGTTGGATTGACGCACTAGCTACGACAACTTAGGACTCCTACTTCTACCACGAGCCCTCTTGTTCTACAACATTATTGTATTAGGCCCTCACAAGATCTCTTTGACCTGCTCAATCTTGGGTCAAAAACAGGTAGAGGGTCCCCCATGTTTAGAGGGAGGCCATCCTGGCACTCATTTGCTTCAAGGGGAAGAAAAACAGACAGGAAGCTGGTCCGCGTCCTCTAGAGGGGAGAAAAAACGCCAGTCAAAGGTACTAGTCTTTGTTGACACCACACCTCTCCTGACACTTCTCCTCTCGGTCTCTCTAGAATGACACTAGAAGGAGGCAAGGTTGAGGAGGCAAGGTTGAGGAGGGGATGTCCTGCCTTCGTAGCAATACCTAGCCGAACTATGAATAAACCGCGTGTAGCCTGCATAGGCATGAAAAGTGTGATACTGAGTGAGATGATGATTACTAATTGGACACGATGATCCAGCTACGGACAAGAATGAGCTGAAATAATCTGAAATCATCAATCACTCACGATAGATAGTCTACTGGAGTACCAGAACTCTTCTGAAGCACCTTCAGTGAATTTTCCAGCTTTCCTCGCTTTGAGGATGATGTGGCACAGAGCAGCTATGTGTTGAAGATGAGCTAAGGACTCCTATTGAAAATTATGGTGCATATTAAGCTAATCATGATGCATAAGCTCTTCTTCTCTCATGCTGCACTATTAAGCTATGTGCTGCTGATGGGTGGACATAGAGAGGAGGCTCCGGTGCTCTGGGCTACACACTTGTCTGCCCGTTGCATCTTGTTTCACATTCTTGATATTTAAATTCTTGATAAAAAATAGTAGAGTCAGTAAGTAACTACTAGGAAATAATTGAGAATTATATATAAGTGATCATTATCAGTAGAAGTAAAAAAAAGTAATATCATATGATGAATATTGAATAGGAAGTAAATTGAATGTAAGTATGATGCATTACACTGGGGGTAGAAGTTTGTAAGATTTAATAATACAAGTAATTTGTAGTTGCATCGAAGTAAAAGCTAAAACAGTTAGTTAGAGAATTACTAAGCAGTACCGTGATAATACGTTGGAAAATATTCTTCAATGATAATAATACTAGATCTCGATGATCATGAGGATGATGATAAATTGATGATTAGAGAAGTGCCTTCACATAGTGACTCAGTCAGTTGTTAGTCGTTGGAAGAATATACTAAGAGGACAATTGCCTCACATCACCCTACAAGAAAATACTAAGAGAAGTGCCCTAAGAGAAAATACTGTAAGAGACGGGCGCAGAAATGCCTGAGTCGCGCCTGCTGGGAGAAGAGAAGTACTCGCCTTCACATGGAATATGAACTAAAAACCAGACTTTTTCTTCCACCCTCTGCGAATCTTCTTCTTGCACCTTCAGCGCATCTTTTTCTACTCTTCGAACTAACTAACTGTATTGACTTCTATCTACTGTAATGTCTGTGATGGAGGCTAGGGGGTTCTCTGACCATCTACGAAATAAGTTGATCTCTGTAACTATCTAATGTCTACTGCATGTTGATGTTGCCTCTTGCATACTTATTTATAATCTGTGCTTCTTTTTGTCCGGCGGTAGCTAGCTAGACTAAAAATTTGCTACGCAAGACGAGGTGCCATGACTAAAAATGTACCCTTCCAACCCTTAGAAGCTAACATGAGGTTCTTGCTCTTCATACTCTATGATTAGATGCGATCTTCCTGATATTCGATAGATTAGAGAGAGATGACTTTGACTTAGTTGACTCAGTTCAATCTTGAATTGAGTCAACTCGAAAATTACGTTTTTTATAGAGCAAGCATTGACGGCCTGGACGCTTCCGAAGAGACTGCTCAAAGCCACCGCTGAGAGACGCACAAAGCCACCGCAGAGGGAGCATCCTATGTATGCCTTTACAGGGATTGCGACTGCGGTTGCTCTAGTGTCGAAAAGAAGCGATTGACATCATCTCAGGTATTTTTAAATTTGCAACTTGTACTTTCGACACGTGCGAGGCGGCAGGGTCGCGCGCGAACATAATAATGATAATAATACTTTTCAGATTGGTCATCTTCTAAGTGCTCTGCCTAGAAGGTTGCGTCTCAGTTTGTTGAAGCATCGCCCTTCGTATCTATACTAGGTAGTCGTCTCTCTCTCTCTCTGAGTCGTCTACTACCTAGCTTCTTAAATCTGAGTCGTCTTGAAACACTTAGAACCTCAGTCGTCTAGTACTTAGTCTTTCATTCTCAGGAGGCCCAGTCGATGCTCTGAAATCTGGCTGATGTAGGACTGTTGCATATATTCGTTGTTGCCTACATTGACTCCGAAGTGTAAAACACTGTAAACCAATTGCAGCTGGAAGGAGGTGCTGTGGCAGCGCATTAGTTGATGTAAAAACTTGAACAGCGTTGTATGATAGTATTGGAGCATATTCTGAATTGTGTACGAGATATTGATCCTGTAACAAAGACGACGTTCGCTGCTGATGACGTCAAAAAAACATTATGCTCTGATGAATGGATGATCTAGAAAATAAATCGAGAATTATAGTTAAAAAAACAAAAAATGGAGAATAATTAGAAGGCAGGTTATGGTATGGCAGTGCTCGCAAAAAAAACAAAAAAAATCGGCAGCAGCTGAAACGGCTGCTCCGCTCGCTCCTCGGGTGTAAGTAGAGTAGGTCTATGACCTCAACATTGCGACTGTAGATAAGTGAACGTCGTCTCTCTCTCTCTGCCGCCATCATGAACGATGGCAACAGGGACTAGAGCATGCCTCTTCACTTTTCCGCATGTTGAGGTCTGCTCATACTTCTTACACTCGTAGGACCCTCGCTCTGTTCCGTTTCAGCAACAGAGGTTATGCAAAGAGTGTTCTTCTACTCAGCAATAAATCGAAAAATTTGTAATTGCCATGTCGGAGAGAAGTTGTCAACACGAAGACAGAGATGACCAAAAAAGTCAACACGAAGTTCGAGCTTTGAAGGGGGTCTCTTCCGTTCAGAGTCAGTGACCATTGAGTGCGGAGCTTTCATTATCGTTATCGCTGTCTGTTATCGATATCGGGGTTGATTGAGGATCGATCCAGCGTCTCACAATCTTCGATCCAGTCGTCGCGACAAAAGACGCAGCATCGTTGCAAAAGGGCCTACAGCTTGAAGAGAGAGAGAGACGAAAAAGAAGCTCGAATCTCTCGTCTTCATCTCACCAGTACCTCTACCATCGTGCAAAAAGGATGATACTTCTGTCGTCTTTTAAGTTCGTAGCGCTATGTAGGTAAATTGGGCCTTCGGCTCTTTCTCCACTGTGCTCTCCTTACCACCTTTGCGTCTGTGAAGTGCTCTTTTGACCTTTCTTGCTTGCTTACCTTTGCTTTGCTTGCGTCGAACACTTCGAAAAGTTTGGAATTGTAACTGTACCATCGTGCAAAAAGGATTGCTCGACTCCATCTCAGTACGATCCAACAAAAGAAACGCTGCTCATTTTTGTCTGCTCATCTTCGTCCACTCAAATGCTTTAGGACTATCTCGTAGCTGTTCTGTCTTGTACAGAATTACAATCTTTTTACGACTACTTACTAGTACTTCCCTGATGTCTGACTCCGATATGTTTGTTCCAGATATCGAATCTAGCATTCTAGCACCAAGTAGTACTTTGTGGTTCCTAAGTGCCGGTGGGCCTAACACTCCTAAATAGAGTAGTATTGAAAGCTACTTTCCTAAGAAAGTGGCCCTAAAAGTGGTCCTCTACCTATTACTTTGTTCAAGAATAAAGTAAGTCTCAACAGTCCTATTATCTGGCGTTGCACATCACTACTTTATTCCTAAGTAGTCCTCACGCCCCTATACGGTATACCTACGTCCTCGCACTCCTATTCCTACAACCTACTATTCCTAAGTCCGAAACAAGTTGTAACGCTCCTATACCTGCAACCTACTATTCCTAAGTCCGAAAGTTGTAACGCTCCTATTCCTACAACCTACTATTCCTAAGTCCCAACAACAAGATGGACGGGCAGTATCAGAATGGGTATGGGGAGCGCCCTTCCCAGGTGCACGCCGGAGGCGGTGGCAACGATATGCAACTGCAGTCGACCTTTTTCACAGGAGGTGTTGCCCCTGACGGCGCTGGCAATGAGATGCAACGTCGGTCGTTAAGGGGGCTACAGTATACATAGCTGTGAAGCAAGGGGTGTATCAACTTTACATTATTAAGAGGGTGGGACGAAGCTCCATAAAAAGCAAGCTCCTTCCATTAAACTGTCAGATCCTACACTGATCACAGGGAATATCTTCGTATTAATGTGAATATCACGACCTGTTTCAGGAATACTCCTGCTTAGGTCTGTTTTTTGTCTCCTCACGTAGGGATAATAGTCCCAAACCGCCTACTTTAGAGTAGAGAAGTGGACGCCGACACAGATGGGGAAGGTGATGGATTGTAGTGCGTTCTAATGACGCAGTCGACAGTTGCGGGAGGTGTTGCGGAACCGGAAATGGGGCGAACGTCGGTTAAGAAAAGGAATTGACTACTTTTTATCTGGTTCTGTCTCGTCTGGTTCTCGTACTTATATGGTTACTAGACGTTAAAAGTCGGTGTGAAAAAAGTACTTATGTGGTTACTAGACGTCAAAAGTCAGTGTGAAAAAAGTACTTATTTGGTTACTACACGGCATTCAAGAAAGATATCCTCTGTTGCTGTAGAGAAGGTAAGTTACTAAGGGGATTTCTGATGAGTTACTAAGTATCATTCACTCCTGTAATCAACTAAGGGGGTCCCTGAATGATTTTCGCGAAGTGTTGGCATGAATAAGTAACACCGAGTCGTGACGCTCTAATCAATCGGCTTCTGCGGTCGGCTCGCAGAATGGCGCTGCTTTCATTTAAGAGAGTCTCAAAAAGACAGGCACTCTCTCTAGAGAGAAAGACAGGCTTGCTTGTTAGAGAGTACAAGTGTACAAGTACACAGGAGGGTTTCTCACTAGAGATTACAAGTACACAGGAGGTTTTCTTCCTCTGGGAGGTTTTCTTCCTATCGTATTATAATTTGTTTTCAGTAGCATTTTGAAAACAGTAGCATTGCGTCCCTTTCAACAATAGGAGTTGTAGACAACTACAGGATTTCTTATTCATCTGTACTTGCAGCAGGTCCGTGCCCTCTTTAGCTCCCTATATATAAGAGTAATAATTCTCCGCGTGAGGCGTGTGAACCAAAGAGGGAGATATTCCCTTGAGTTAGAGGCCAAGCATGCGCAACATTTACACGATTGGATCCTTCTAAAGCATTCTAGGGGACGCGGATGGAGCCCCTGTTGCGCCTATGGTTAAGGCACCGCGAAAATGAACAAATAGGATATAAAACCTTCTAGACTATAGTGTTGAGTTCGTTGCAAAACTCCTCGATGGACACCTCAGAAGTCACTGTGATTCACTGACTGACTGACTGACTGGCTGACTCGGTAGTCTTTGACGTAATTCACTGAATATTGACCCACACGGTGTGTACTGGTGAGGGAGAAGCTGTCTAATCCTGAAGATACAGATGACGACGATGACGGCACGATTTTGTCCGTCCCCAAGTGGCTGTTTTTATGGCAATAGTCCAACGTGCCGTCTCCTCATGTAACTTCCTCTTGGTATTCTACAACACGTCGTGGTCCTCCTCTTCTGCATCTATGTAAGTCGGCTCTTCCGCCTGCTACTTCAGGGGGACCCATTCCTATCCTATCATATCCTATGTAAAACCCATGGAAGAACTTCATCTACTTATGTAAAAGAACGAACAACGGCGCCTTTTTTCATATCCTTGGTGCGTTCTGGTGTTGATGGTCACGGCGATGATTTTGCTGATAACCTTGTTGTCTCTCGAATGCTGCGGATCATCCGAGAAAGCCAATTATGTTGAGAGAAATTCACGGGCTTTCGGCTTTCCGTCATCGGGATAAAGTTTCCTTAGCTAGTCCGTATTTGGGTTGAAGTAAGTATCTTTAAGTAGTCCGTAGTTGGGATGAAACAACAGTTGCAGCGCCTCTAGAGTAGGCACAAGCATCATCACCATCACCACCACCACCATCATGATCACCATCATCATGATCACCATCATCATGATCACCATCATCATGATCACCATCATCATGATCACCATCATCATGATCACCATCATCATGATCACCATCACCATCACCACCATCACCACCATCACCACCATCACCACCATCACCACCATCACCATCACCATCACCATCACCATCATCCTCCCCAGTGGGTGCGCCTCTCGTCCGCAGTTCGGCTTGCCTGAGGATCTTGATCTACTTGTCTCAATCTTTTCTATCTTGTTCTCTATACTCCGTGACTTATGATCCACTCGTGTCCTATCAAAATCAAATCCATCGGAGCTAAATGACATGACAAGGATACTATCACACCGTGTGACAGTATTTTTGCTATCATATCAGTGTCATGACAGCAATGTTGATCAACATAAGACGCAGAGAAGTTAGCGGCGTGACGCCAAAGAGTTGCCACCTTGTTCACCTTTCTTAATACAGTTACAGAGAATTAAAACACGCGGATGCAATGAGAAAAGCCGACCTCCATATCCTATTCTATTGTTGTTGTAGCCTATTCTAAGTATCCTATTCTCGAAAATGACGATTAGCCTATTCTAAGTATCCTATTCTGTACTGTTCTATCCTATTGCCCTATCCTATCTTGAGTATTGCTGTACGCTTACTTATTCTATCTCCTGTGTATCTTGTCGGGTACGTTGTGCCACCCTATCCTATCCTACCCTATCCAGCCTGATGGCGTCAGTCTTCAATGATGCAATTATCCACCTAGCTAGCATATCCCGTCCTACCTCATGGCGTCACTCTTGAAGAGCCATGGCAATTATGAGTCTCTTTGTCCTCTAAGAAAAAAAAAAATCTGGAGTGGGGGAGCGAGCGGCATTAAGAGGGAGGGGCCAACTATTAGGAGGAGCTGACCCACGGCATGGGGAGCTCGCTACTGCAACAGGCGGGGGAGGTCTTAAGGCTCATATTCATCCTACGTTCATCTCTCCAATCAAAGGCTGTAAGAAAAAGAATGAGATCGTTTTCCCACAACTTGCTGGTGAAGGTGGAGAAAACTGTAAAGCAACTCATACATACATCAAGCGGGAAACAGCTGTCAGTTATTATTAATTTTCGTTACAACGTAGCGGACAAAAAAAGATTGTTGTCTGCTATGAGGTCTGCGATGCTTGGAGAAGCCCATCTCAATATCAAAGACCATCTCTCAGGGAGTATTTTTCCAACTAGTAGAACTAATTGGGACACCACGATGGTGATTTTATTTGGTTTCTTTTCGCTTCCTATGTAAGCGGGCTCCGCCACTAATGTTTAACCACGTACGTCGTAGTACATGGTCACTTAATAAATCTGGGCTACAGCACTAATACTCATAAAAGGAGAATATCTATCAAATTTCACGTGTTTTTACCATCTCGTAACACAGCTGACATGTCCTAGACTAACCTCCTTACCTAAAGACCTACTTATAATGTATATCCTAACCTCACCTAACCTATTATGTATGACCTAACCTTACCTACATCCCTGAGGCATTTTCGAGAAGTGAGCCCCGGGAATGTGAAGGTATGCCCTAACCTAACCTATACTGTATGTCCTAACCTAACCTTACCTAACCTATACTGTATGTCCTAACCTAACCTTACCTAACTTATAGTGTATGTCCTAACCTAACCTTACCTAACCTATAGTGTATGTCCTAACCTAACCTTTCTTATCTTTCCTACCTAAACTATACTGTATGCACGAACCTTAGATAGGTGGCCATTCTCTAAAGCTGGAGGCACACATGGGAGCGAGGATGGGTTGTTGCGCGAGGTGGCAACGCAGTGGCGCGACTCGGGGAAGCTCGAGGACGCGAAAAAGGAATTAAGGAAAAAGAGAGTACTCCTTAAGCGCCTTGACCTCGGTCATGTTCACTATCAGAACTGATCTCTTGCGGCACTAGGGACGGCGCTATCAGGCATACACACACACACACACTGCAGCCGTCTGCCTCTTTCCTTCCCCTCTGTTTGGACTGTACCCCCAGACTGGGTTAGCTTACTGCCACTCCGACTCCTACTATTCGAAAACTCAAAATAACCGAGTTACTGACTGAAATAAGGGAGGTAGCTGAACAGCAAGGCTACTCTTCCTTCTCGTCAGTATCTCGGTTATTCTGATCAGTTACTCGCTTATTTCTAAGAAAGAAAAAGGGGAGCTTGATAGGTTTCGACTGTAAATCACATGAATTGACTCAGATGGATTAATTGAGTACGCGCAACGACTGAACTGTCGTCGTGCTTTCTCGTTTGAGTTGTTTTTGGTGCCTGGCCGTCGTATATAGAGGGAAAAAGTGGCCGCGTATATAGAGCATCGAGAGAGAGGTCTAATATTGGAAATATCCAAAGAGTGCGGTAAAGACGGGGCGAGTAAGTGGGGCCAAGTCAAAAAGCAGATGGACGAAATGGTGAAGGCGGAAATGAGCCCAAAAGAGAAGGTGGTGAAGGCTTTTGTAATCGCAGAAGCATTTACGGTTTCCACTCGTCGTACTCTAGTATTGGTGTAGTCCTACTAGATTGTTGTAGTTTTACATGGTTGTAGTTTTACAGAATACCTTTTGTTTTTTATAGAAGGATCTTCGCTTGGATTCTGAGGCTCTTGAGATTGTTCTTGTTGTAGTCTGAGTTCCGATAGTCAATCTCAAATAGAGTAGGCTCAGAACAAAGACGAGGAGGTAGTAGTATGTACCTCCTACCCCATGAGTGTAGTAGCATGTACCTACCCCATGAGTGTAGTAGTATGTACCTCCTACCCCATCAGTGTAGTAGTATGTACCTACCCCATGAGTGTAGTAGTATGTACCTACCCCATGATGAATGTTCGCCCAATCACTACTGCTACTAGTCCTACTACAGCTAACTACTACCCATTCGCTCCGTACTACCGCTAACTACTACAACCTCTACTACTCCTATTCCCACTATATCATTATTGTAGTTTTGTTGCCTACTCTTAGTATTTTGTTGTAGTTTTGTTGCCTACTCTTAGCATTTTGTTGCAGTGACAGCTCTCCATCAGAGCTTTGTTCCAGAAATATAGATGCGTAGTTATGCAACTAATTAACTATCTTCTATACCCCCAGAATGGGCACACTATTACTACTACTTCTACTAATGCTACTACTTCGACTACTGCTACTACTACTACTACAGAAGTATAGATGTTGAGCGTGCTCTAAAGAGAGCTATGGCGAGGGCAATGTGGGACCAGCGGCAGGGACTAAGGAGCAGCTTGTGGAGAAGCTGACGGTTCCCGCGGGTGGCACGGATGATACCGTCATTATGATGGATAAGTAAAAGTTGGTAGTCCTTCTGCGGCTGCACATGTTCGCCCGATGATGCAGGTCACACTGCGGGGAAAAAAGCGTTGTCCTGTGGAGGCAACCTGAGTGATTGCTTGACTGATTGAGTGGTTGACTGAATACTAATGGACTACCTCTAAGCCTACATGAATAGGGAATAACGCGAGAAAGTAAGCTGGAGAGTAAGTAAAATGGGGAGTACAAGTACAGTTGGGTCAGCGTTGGTAAAATGAGAGTGAGTAAAATTGGACGCTAAGCCTAAATCTAGACTGACGAGGGTGGGGATAGCGTTTCATTCCGTAGTCGACTAGGGAAAATTGGGGAGTAAAGGGTGGGAATATCGTGTTATTCGGTGGTCGTCACAACAAATGCGAGAATATGCTACTGCTATTACTGCGATTGCTAAAGGCATCGCAAAGCTTATCTTCAACTCTCTTGAAGAAGTAAAAGCTAGTTATTAGAGGTTTTAAGTCTTATAAACTGTTCATTTTATCATGGTAAATTTGATAATAAGCAGATATTGGTGATTAAGCTTCTTAAGAGCCCCAATGCGAAGACCACTTAGCCAACAAATCTAGTTAAAGCGTTACTGAAATAGTTATTAAGACTGAGTATAGTTATTCAGACAACATCTCTACTTACTACTATAGGTAATGCAACATCACTCCTAGACATGCGACCCTTGTTCTAAAGTAGTCACAGAGCTTTTTCCTCCTGTGACGGGTGCTGTGGGCATCGCGGAAACGGTGGCGGAGCAAGCTTGGGCTGTGATCGACAGCTTTCGGAACGCAGAAGGCGGAAAATTTATGGGTAGATGATTATTTGCGAAGCGCCTTTCTTTTTGTTTTTCTAGTTAAGGGTCCACTGAAAGAGTAGACTAACTAGCGAACAGGATGATCTTGACAGGCTTACTAGAATATAGACTTACTAGAACATTAGAGTAGGGAAAGAATTATTGTAGTCAGAATTAGTAGAATATTAGAGTAGATAAAGAAGTATTGTAATCAGAATAGTTGATGAAGAAAAAGAATAGGGTACTATGATTAGAATAGTTGATGAACAAAGTCAAAGAGAATCGAGTATTATAACTAATAGAAGAACTTCTACATGAGTTGACGATGATGAAAAATGAATTGTCTCACCAATAATATTATCTTCTCATGAATTATATTAAGAGTGGACGTACGAGTCATCGACCTCCACTTATGTCTCGAGACTCTCAGGACTCTCATTCTAGCATGTACATCCGAGGAGTATACTAGTATGTATTTCTCAGGAGTCTCATTCTAGTATATAAGTATGTATTTCTCAGGAGCATCGTAGTATGTACATCTAAGGAGCATCGTAGTATGTATTTCTCAGGGCGATCATTCACTCATTCACTCACCCACTTACTCGCTCACTCACTCACTCACTCATGAGTATCGTAGTATGCACATGTCAGGAACAGACCTCCCTTATTAGGAAACCTTGCGCATAAAACTAGGGAAACTTGAGTCGTTTCCTTCTTATTCCTTGCTGTAGATAATAACTTCTCGCGATTTTTTTATCTAACAACCATCTCTAGAGAGGCTCATCCTCTTGGGTGAAAGCTCTAAAAGCATAGCAGACAGTCAGGGTGTGAAAGATGCTGTTAACGCGCTGGCGGGTGCATTGAAGGGCACTTCTGCTCGTCCCGATACAGGTGGTGGAAGTCAAGGTGGGGACGGTCAACGCCAAGGTGGTGGTGAAGGTGGGGACGGTCGACGCCAAGGTGGTGGTGGTAAAGGTGATGGTGGTGATGGTGAAGGAGGTGGAGGTCCAAGTGATGCTGGTGATGGAGCCGAAGCCGCGGCTGCCGCTGCCAAGGCCAAGGCCAAGGCCAATGAAGAAGAAACCAAACGAAAAGAAGAGGAAGCCAAACGAAAAGAAGAGGAAGCCAAAAGACAAGCAGAAGCCGAACAAGAAGAAGAAGTCGAACAAGGAGGCAGTGGTGGTGGTGGGCCAAACCCTGGGGGAGGACTATCACCAGGCCCCGAAGAACCAGCACCCCCCGAAGAACCAGCACCCGAAGAACCAGCACCCGAAGAATCAGCAAGCCCCGGAGAACCAGCAAGCCCCGGAGAACCAGCAAGCCCCGGAGAACCAGCAAGCCCCGGAGAACCAGCAAGCCCCGGAGAACCAGCAAGCCCCGGAGAACCAGCAAGCCCCGGAGAACCAGCAAGCCCCGGAGAACCAGCAAGCCCCGGAGAACCAGCAAGCCCCGGAGAACCAGCAAGCCCCGGAGAACCAGCAAGCCCCGGAGAACCAGCAAGCCCCGGAGAACCAGCAAGCCCCGGAGAACCAGCAAGCCCCGGAGAACCAGCAAGCCCCGGAGAACCAGCAAGCCCCGGAGAACCAGCAAGCCCCGGAGAACCAGCAAGCCCCGGAGAACCAGCAAGCCCCGGAGAACCAGCAAGCCCCGGAGAACCAGCAAGCCCCGGAGAACCAGCAAGCCCCGGAGAACCAGCAAGCCCCGGAGAACCAGCAAGCCCCGGAGAACCAGCAAGCCCCGGAGAACCAGCAAGCCCCGGAGAACCAGCAAGCCCCGGAGAACCAGCAAGCCCCGGAGAACCAGCAAGCCCCGGAGAACCAGCAAGCCCCGGAGAACCAGCAAGCCCCGGAGAACCAGCAAGCCCCGGAGAACCAGCAAGCCCCGGAGAACCAGCAAGCCCCGGAGAACCAGCAAGCCCCGGAGAACCAGCAAGCCCCGGAGAACCAGCAAGCCCCGGAGAACCAGCAAGCCCCGGAGAACCAGCAAGCCCCGGAGAACCAGCAAGCCCCGGAGAACCAGCAAGCCCCGGAGAACCAGCAAGCCCCGGAGAACCAGCAAGCCCCGGAGAACCAGCAAGCCCCGGAGAACCAGCAAGCCCCGGAGAACCAGCAAGCCCCGGAGAACCAGCAAGCCCCGGAGAACCAGCAAGCCCCGGAGAACCAGCAAGCCCCGGAGAACCAGCAAGCCCCGGAGAACCAGCAAGCCCCGGAGAACCAGCAAGCCCCGGAGAACCAGCAAGCCCCGGAGAACCAGCAAGCCCCGGAGAACCAGCAAGCCCCGGAGAACCAGCAAGCCCCGGAGAACCAGCAAGCCCCGGAGAACCAGCAAGCCCCGGAGAACCAGCAAGCCCCGGAGAACCAGCAAGCCCCGGAGAACCAGCAAGCCCCGGAGAACCAGCAAGCCCCGGAGAACCAGCAAGCCCCGGAGAACCAGCAAGCCCCGGAGAACCAGCAAGCCCCGGAGAACCAGCAAGCCCCGGAGAACCAGCAAGCCCCGGAGAACCAGCAAGCCCCGGAGAACCAGCAAGCCCCGGAGAACCAGCAAGCCCCGGAGAACCAGCAAGACCCGCACGACCAACACCCGCACGACCAACAACACCATCCGCAGAACCAGCACCCGAACCACAGCCGGCAGCACGTCCTGTTACGGCTTGATGGTTTGTTCTTTGCTTTATATCAGTTGCAAACTTATTGCCATCGAGTACAAGAGCGAGAGGTCTCTGCATGGGTTTTGTACTGAGTGTAGTGAAATTTCGTCTACAACAAGTCACTCAGATGGCAGTTTTTGTTTTTTTTCGAGATGCATTTCTAGTATATAAGAAAGCCCACCGATGCAGGACAAGTATAGACACGTGGATAAGACGATGGAAAAGTGAATAAAATGCACGGCTATTTCGGTCTCTCGTGGTTAGTCTGAAAAAAACAAATGAAAAGAAAAGAGATTCATTAGACCGTCATTTACTCCGCAGGCCCATGAACATGACCACCAAGGTTAGTCTGCAACGCATACAGATGTTCAACATTGCACAGGACACTTCTAATCATGAAGATGTGTCCGGTCCAGAAAGTCGAGATCCGGCGTCAGCGGCTCTAGTCCGAGAGAGGACACTCGCGGGTCGGGTGGTCGATGCTCTGGCCGCGTTTATGGGAAAAGGTGAGGCTGATAAGTATCCAGGAAAAACTCTTGTCACCAACGCTGTCTTGGCGATGGATCCGCGTGCACGGGTAAAAGACACAGATGACGTCTACACGATCATCAAGGTACTACAATTATATTACGTGTAGATACTGTTGGACAATAATTATACTACTGTTGGAAGTTCTCTTTACAAAGTCCAACAATTATACTGTTGGATTACAAAAACTAGAAGATACTGTACGAAGTACAATTACACAAGAGCAAGAACTAGTTAGACTACAACTATACTGCACTACAAAAACAATTGTACTATAAGTTACTAGGGAAGTTGCTCCTCTGTGCCCCACGTGGCAAATGTAGTGGGCTAGGAAGTTCCTCCTTACTGCAAAAAGATTTTTTTAGCTTCCTTGAGTTGACTATTTTGAAAACGAGAAAGATAAGAGAGAAGGAAAACACTCAAGCAGCTTGAAAGGCTCAAAGAGTTGCAACGTCGAACGTGAACGAGAATAAGAGTGAGCGCCGTTCTTCGTCGCTGTTGCATTTTTTTAAGATGTGAGAGCCTTTACCCGTGTACAGTAAAGCGGGCCCATACCTGGCCCAGCCCGCCAGAGTAGCAAGCCAAGCCACGAACCCGAGAGAGCTCGCCGCTGCCGCTTCAGCCGCGCGCCCGATGGATTCGGCCCCGCCCTGCGTGCTTGTTAGGACAAAGCAGCCCCGCGAACCCGAGCCTGAGCCCGGCCTCGCGAGCGCGGCCCCTTGCGGGCCCAGCTACGTGCGAGCCCGGCCTTGTGCGAGCCTGGGCCATAAGATAACGCGCCCCGCCCCGTGCGAGCCCAGCCGGCATCGCCGGCTCCGTGCGAGCCCAAGCCGGCCCCGTGTGAGCCCAGCCCCGTGCCAGTTGAGGTGGGCCCCGTGTGAGCCTGTCCCCGCGCGAGCCCGGACCCGAGCGAGCCCGGCCCCGCCGGCTCCGTGCGCGCTTAGCCGGCCCCGCCCCCGTGTGAGCTCAGCCCCGTGCGAGCTCAGCGGACGCTTTGCGAGCTGAGTGGGTCCCGTGCGATCGTGGTTCCATGTGAGTCCAACCGGCCTCGTGCAAGCTCAGCCGCGTGTGAGCCCGGTCCATGTGCAAGCCCGGCCGTGTATGAGCCCGGGCAGGCTCGTGCGAGGCCTGCCCTGTGTGAGCCCAGTCGGCCCCGTGTGAGCCCGGCCCCGTGTGAGCCCGGCCCCGTGTGAGCCTGGCTCTGTGCGAGCTCGGCGGGCCTCGTGCGAGTTCAGTGGCACCCGCGCGAGCCCAAGCTTGAGCCCGAAGCATGCAGAGCGAGCCCGAGCCGGCCTGGGTGAGGAGCCCAAGCCGGCTCTGGCGAGCCCAAACCGGTCCCGGCGAACTCAAGCCGGCCCCAGGGAGCTCGAGCCGGCTCCAGTGAGCCCGAGCCGGC